ATTACTAAGCTTAAGTTTCTACTAACGTTTAAGATAGCCTTTAATCAATCCTTTACGCTAGCTAATATCTACTTAGCTTTTTAAGGCGCAGGCCTTATCTCTCTCTAGCTAGACGCTATTCTATTAAAGCTTAACGTATAGCTACGTACGCTTAGTTCTCTAGCTGCTCTTATAGAGGCCCTCTAGTAAGCTTATACACTAAGTAACGTACGTGAGCTAGAGGCTTAATTAACATTAATAAGCGACCGCGTTTGAAAGCACTAGAGCTTATTACTAGCTTTAATTATTACGGCGATTAATTATATAGCTTAAAAAGGGGGCTAAGGTAATAATACTCTCGGCTGAGCTAATGCGCGATCGAATTGCTAGCCTTAAGAGAGCTAATATAGCAGTATTAGAGCGTAGAAAATGTAAGAAAAAGCGGATACAGAAGTGTAGAGTCCTTACAAAGGGAGCTAGCGAGGATCTACTCGCTTAGCGTAAGGCTGATTAGCAGATTGCTTATGAAGAGCGTTAAGGAGGAGAGCGATTAGGTGTTAGCCGTTAGGCTCTGGCGCGCTATAGTAGGTGTAGAGAGACTGGTTATAATGCACGTACATGTAAGAAAGATACTTTAGATAGTACTTAATCTACTGTCTTAATACATAATAGAATATTTAATTCATGGTGGAGCTTGTAGAGGTGTATAAGTTTGGTGGGGTGCGGCGCTCGCCCGTGTGCGGCGCTCGCCCGTGGAACACGTTATAATTGTTGTTCTTCCCGTTTTGCTCCTTCTCTCTCCTTTTGTCTATCTGATATTACCTCCTTCACACCCAGTTACTTGGCCAGAACATCTTGGCAAAGCCTGACTCGTTTTAGCTGCTACATCTCGTGTACAAAGTTTGTCGCGAGAGATTCTGACGTGATATTTATTTTATCGGGCTCGCTAAATCAAGATAACCTTATTCTTATCCTCACTACGAACGGTAAGACCGTTGTTAGCCTTGTCTTATAGGTAATTTAAAAGAACTCGACTTTGTTTTTGAGTGAAACAGGGCGGAGAACAAATATGGTAGAAGTAAGACCAGCGCTTCAAGACTTTTCTCTTCCTCTTCTCACTCTTTCGCGGCTGAAACGATCCGGAGATCATTATTTCCGGGGACCCTGGTTGGTAGGCCTCTGATTACGGCTGGGCGGATTACAGAACTTGATTCAGCTGATCAATTGCAAGGGCTACGTCTTGATGATATCTTATGCACCCTGACCCTAAGCGAAACTACAAGCTGCCCTCTTATAGATTGTTGGAAGAGATTTTTGTACGTTGATACATCAAGTTTGGCTGCTGTTCCTTCTTATGATTATCTGTTGTTCATATGGACATTACACATATACCTTTACAAAATGCGTTGTTGTTCCTCTTTTTACGCTAGGAGTTACAGTCATGCGTCCAGGAGATCAACATCGGGAATTTCCTCTTGGAGATGCGCGGCACGCAGACTGACTTTCGCTATCGGACCTAACAAGGCATGCAACAATTGCGAACAGTAAGCAGCATGTTGTTACCATTAGTTATCGTGCTACATGTTTGGACGCTGATATGATGATTACGCTCTTCTTCAGGTCATTGGTTACAGAAAGATATCACCCTATTCTTCATAATGACGATTCTAAGTAGTATAGCTCTTACTCTCTACCCCAGTCTGTATCGCCCCCTTGCTAGCGGACCCACATAAACCAATTTTGCCATATATCACACAGTATGATCCAACACATCAGTGCTAGCGCTTACATGTAGTCGTATATCTGGGGCCCCTTTTTCAATTCAAGCAGGCCAAGCCTACCTCAACAACTTCAGTTTCCTTAATGCATAGTGTTGATGCAAATCTTCTCCCCAAAATCAATGTTTCAAGGCCCGGGAAGATATAAGATATATACAATATGGCACATGCTACATCAGCACTATGTCCCCAGGAGATCACCTACAAATTTCCGTCTTATTGCCGTGAAGGATCGTTCAATATAACCCGGTAGAGTTTTTTCAAGGGATTTATTTGATCGAGTACATATGTCCCCAGTTGCCCTTACTTCACAGGCCACATGGTTTTGAACTACTAACGCTCTTTTGTTCTACACGCCTTTGGTGTGTGCCCGCTCATTCTTATCTAATTTCTTACTTGTTTTCTCATAGTGTTCATCATGGGTTGGAAATCATACCTTTTACCACTGCTGCTGGGCACTGTTGCTGGATTACAACAGCAACAAGTTGTGCCAGGTTCTTTTATTATTGAATACCAAGATTCCAGCGTCGGGGTAATGCTCAATCAGAAAAATGAATGAATCATGCTAAATGTTCCCAGCTACTTTCATCCGTGCTCCAGAAACTTGACGTTGTCAAGGTGCTTGACTTGGACTACGATCTGTTCAAGGGCGCTACTGTCAGGTTCAACAACGATAAATCCTCTGATGAACACATGTCTACTTTGCTTTCGCATTCAGCCATCAAGAACGTCTGGCGCAACACGATTTATTCTTTGCATAACCCAGAGATCGGAAGCGTTGGATCACCTGAGTTAGCAGACTCATCCCGACTCGTGGCCAGAAACTTCCAAGGCAATCAGACATACTCGCCCCACGTTATGACCCAAGTCGACAAGTTACACGCAAAGGGCATCACTGGTAAAGGAGTTCAAATCGCAGTTGTTGACACTGGAGTAAGTGCTATAGTTAGAGCCAGCAGTATGAGCAGGCTCTTTCAACTGAAGAGGCCCAGCCCCGCCGTACAAGTGTTTCCAATGTCTCAAAGATCATCTTAACCTCGTGCCTCGGCCAGGCTGGCGTTGATCCCTTGCCAATGGATCGGGATGCTCAAGACTCTACTGTACGTGCTCAATATACAACTACTAACTTTAACCTAGATTGACTATTCCCACCCAGCCCTCGGTAAATGCCTTGGACCCGATTGCTTAGTTATCGGCGGTTATGATTTTGTCGGTGATGCGTATAACGGCACTAACACCCCTGCTCCCGATGACGATCCAATGGATTGTTTTGTATATGCCCTTTCCTCGAGAGCTGCGTTCATAGGCTGAACTTCAATTAGGGACATGGTACACACGTGGCTGGTATCATCGCCGCCCAAGAAAATAAATATGGTTTCATAGGGGCTGCACCTGTAAGGGCTTCTCAATGGACTATGAGACAAGTCTTCTAATGGATCTATCTTAGGGCGTCAAACTAGCAGCATACCGGGTCTTCGGTTGCGAAGGTTCCACTACTGATGACATTCTCTCAGCTGCCTTCCTGCGCGCACAGCAAGATGGAGCTAATATCATTACTGCTTCTCTTGGAGAAAGTAGCGGATGGAGCGAGACTTTGCTTGAAGTAATTGCCTCCCGAATCGTTGCCAAGGGGGTCATTATTACCGCCGCCGCTGGGAACGACGGTGACCAAGGATTGTTTTACGCAAGTTCCCCGGCTGGAGCAAAGGGTGTTGCTGCTATTGCTTCTTATGAGAATACTTTGTCGCCTGTATTGTTGACGCAGTCCTCTTATTCGATTTCGAACGACACAAAGCAGGGCCTTCAATGGGCTGTAGGCGACCCAGGCAATTGGACAGGTGCCGGTGTGATACCGCTCTGGACTCCATCATTCAGCCCCAATAAGACTACGGATGGTTGCGGACCTTTTGCTGATAACACGACGGACCTTTCTGGAAAAGTTGTTCTTCTCCCTTACGATGGGTGTATTGGCCAAAATGCGTATTCCGCTATTGGTCTCGGGGCCCATTACATCATGCTTTCAGCAAAACCGGGTACTAACTTACTAAACCCCAGTTTTGGGCCATATCCAGGCTTCCTAGGTGTGGGTACAGTCTCTTCCACGGTAGGCGCCAAGTGGTTCGCGGCTCTGGCCGCCGGATCGGTTGTCACTTTAGATCTCACCGATTTCGCCACTAGCCCAGTCACGCTTGAACAGCCACCTAATGACATACTTGGCGGACTTCTAAGCTCCTATACTTCTTGGGGACCTTCTTTTGAAAGCGAGCTAACGCCTTCATTTGGTGCCCCAGGTGGGTTAATCCTATCAACGTGGCCTGTTGCCTTGGGTTCTTACGCCGTTTTGTCTGGTACCTCCATGGCCTGCCCACTTGTTGCTGGTATCTACGCCCTTCTATCAAACGTACGGAACACCTTCGACCCAGTTGAGCTTCAAAATTTACTTGCTAGTACAGCTAAGCCTGTTCCATCCAATGGAAGCTCTTTAATTGCGCCTCCCGCGCAACAAGGAGCTGGACTGGTTCAAGCTTATGATGCAGCCTATGCAACCACAGTATTAAGCCGCCCGAGTCTTGCTTTTAACGATACCATTCGCTTAACGAGTAAAACCTTTACTATTTCTAATACTGAGGATAAGGAAGTCACCTATGAGCTAGACGTTATGAACGCCGCTACTGCTTACACGTTCAATGATAGTATCAGGCCAGCTACGTCCCCCAAGCTCGACAACTCCTTCGCAAAAGTGGACCTAAGCGACTATCACGTTACTATCCCTGCAGGTGGAAAAGCTACAGTCTCTGTTAAGGTTACACCTCCGGCAGTTTCTATCTCTCAACTCCCAGTGTACGGAGGGTACATCCGGATTAACGGTACAAACGGCGAGAAGCTATCTATCCCTTACCAAGGCATTGCGGGGGACCTTAGTGCTGTAACTGTTATGAACGGAACGTACCTATCAAACGCCAATAGTGGTCCCGACTATCCGCCCTTCAATAATACCAACTCGACTTTCATGTTCCCACAGGTGGATATCGCAGATATCAATCTCATCACCGATGACCTTCCAGTTGCTGCTGTTGACTTTGTTTTTGGATCCCCGCTACTTAACATTCAAATCGTGTCAACCAGCAAACAGCAAGTCAATCTTGGTCACGCCGTGGACTCACCGTTCAATTACACTAGCCGTGATTTTTTTCCCTACACGTGGAACGGCCAGCTTGATGATAAATCATTTGTACCAGCAGGTACCTACAAGTTCCGTGTTTCAGCGCTGCATATCTTTGGTGATCCAGACCAACCACAGGATTATGACGTTGCTGAGACGTCTTCCTTCAAGATTGCCTACAGGTAGATGTGGGTAGAGTACAGGCAAGTAGGGGTGGTACTTTATACATGGGGCCGAACTACATCGATATGTCCTCGTCTGCACTGATGCAGGCGAGTCTACAACTATTTCGCACAATTTTCTGGCGATTTTTTGCTCTAACATTTCACTTTTTACTTTCTATTCTGTGCATTGTTTTAAGAACAATGTTTTCTTCTATTCTCAAGAAACTGGATTTTAACTGATTGCTTTCGCGCGTATTTTGACCGTTGCAGATATAGGACATGTTCAGATGAAATGCTGGGAGTGGCTTAAATGTATGGCTTAGGGTTCTATACTAGGTTCATCAAGTCAATCATGTACAGCCTTCAGGATGATCGGATAGGATGTTGAGGGTGGTTGAAAAATGTGACCTATCGTTGTTGCACGATTCGCTGCGGTGGACGCCTTCTGACACTGCCAATGATGACTTTACCCAATCAGCCACTGAGGGGCTTGGTGGCGATATTCTACCTAGGCAAGGCGTACTCAACCCTCCAGATTTGACACCCTCGCACACGACTGGCTGTGCAACTTCGAAGCATGACGCAGATCATGCTGGGTATCGGCCCCCACTGGTGGCCTGATTCACAAGTAGCCCAGCTTGACTTGACAAACTTTCGCTTTAGTATTACCTACCCCAGACATCCCGACCATAGTCAGACGTCCATCAATGAACTTGGTCTTGCTCTGCGTCACAAAGTGGTAATGTACGAATCGCTACGTCGCGCAACTGATGGTGGTAGAGATTCTAATGAAATCGAGCTACTCCAGCCTCATGGGCATCGGTAAGGCTTTGAATGTTGCCTCACAGTCTCAGCGCTCTCTAAACAATAATTCAGACAAGGGTCTTCGAGTATCCGAAGCAGCGATGACTATACTATTGACAGTCAACGCAGCCCATCTCTCATAGAGTTACTCCATTCTGCGAAGACCACCGACCAATCAGATGATAGCGACAATCTCCTTCAAAAACACAGCGGTCATCGCGAAAAGTTGCCTGAAAAGAAATTTCTTCTCTCCGGATGGCGTACCGGCGCACTCATCTCATTGATCGGAGCCGTCGTTGTCTTCGTCTTCAACCTCGGCATCACCATCTGGGTTTGGGCAAATCCTAGTTTTCAGGCCAATGGTGCTATCGGCACAATGTATCGCGGAAACTGTACGGTTGTCCGAAACCTGAATGTCAGGATACACCTGCTTGTCAATGTAAGCTATCTGTTCGCATCTGAGACTATCTTGCTTACGATGCAGCAAGGTTCTCAGTACCATGCTACTGTGCGGTAGCAACTACGTTATGCAAGTCCTCGCAGCCCCGAACAGAGAAGACGTCGATCGCGCCCACGCTCAGCGTCGTTGGCTGCATATTGGTGTCCCGAATTTCCGCAATTTGCGGTATATCCGGCGAGAACGCGTCATCATCTACATGTTTCTATTCCTATCATCGGTACCATTGCATCTCCTGTTCAACTCGGTCGTTTTCACACAGCTCCAGGCAAATGAATATTCTGTTGTCCCTACTATGGAAGACTGGATTCAAGGGGGAGAGTATAATCTTGAAAATTTCGACGATTTAGCGCTCGAGAGTAGTTTGCAGAACAAAATCTGGATAAGAGAGTTCGAACAGTATCGCGTCCAGCTTGACGATACAGTGAAACTGAGCAATGGGACTACTGTACCCAAGTACCAGAACATGACTGCAGCGGAGTGCTTCAGCAAGTACGGTAATCACTACGTTTCAGACGTTGGTAATGTCTACCTGGTCCAAGCACAGCCAACAGTATGGAAAAACCCCGGAAAATCGGAACTCCGCCGATTAGAAGGGGGAGGGTTTGAATGGGCACAAATCACAAACGATTCATCGATCCTTGACGACCGGAATGGCACGTACCACCGAGTGGACTTCAATGCTACCCTCCCCTTTCCAAGCTCACCGCGCAGATACCCATCTAATTTATGGCGGTGTCAGTCGCACACATCAACTGGATGTAAGCGATACCACATGCGTATATGAATCCAAGAATAATGCTAATGAAACTGTATTGTTTAGGTGATCCGGATGACGAAAGCGAGATCCCACGAGATAGGTCGCAATGGAAGCCGTACGGAAGCGATCTATCATACTGTCTAGTTGAACAGGTCGAAGAGTTCTGCGAGCTACAATTCAGCTTCGCGATTGCGATTCTGGTAATCATATCCAACCTGGTCAAAGCCACTTGCATGGCCATTGCCCTCTGGAAATGTGGAGGCCATGGCGCATTCGTAACCATTGGGGATGCCATTGCCAGTTTTCTTGACAACCCGGATCCCTCGACGAGCGGACGCTGTCTGCAAACCCGGCGTCATGTTGAGTTGTGGTGGGATTGGAACGAATGGGCCATGGGCAACTCAGATATTGCAATGAAAAGAGATCGCAGAAGGTTCAGGTCAAGAAGACGTAAATGGGCAATGGCGCCTAGCGAAAGGAGATGGGTTGCTACGTACTGGTCGTAAGTCTACTCTTCGCCCTCTTGAAACAAACAAACTTATTTCAGTCCCTCTACAGTTACAGCGTCTTGTTCATAGCGGGCATTCCCCTAACAGTGCTAGCATTGAAAAACATGCCCCGGGACCCGAAAAAATTGTGGGAAACTGGATTTGGCACCATACAGGGCAACAACCTACTCAACTTTGACACATCGCTCATGGGCGGCGTGCTCCTCGCCAATACGCCCCAAGCGCTCCTTTCTTACATGTATCTCGCTTTCAACGCGCTCTACACAACCATGTTCATCTCGTCGGAATGGGCGAGTTACAGTGTTCAGCGCAAGCCCTTGCGCGTCACATCGCCTGTGGGCCAGCAGCGCCATACATACTGGCTCGGCGTGCCGTACCGCTACGCAATACCAGTGACGCTGGTGTCTGGACTCTTCCACTGGCTCGCCTCGCAAAGTCTGTTCAAGGTACAGATTTCCGTTACTGACATGTTCACACGACAGGTCAAGGATCATATCTCGACATGTGGATACTCGCCCGTTCCTATCATGCTGACAATGGCGGTTGCGACTGTTGTTGGGGGATCTGGCATTGCTATCAGTAGGATAAGTTTCCCATCAGGCATGCCTCTGGCGGCTAGCAACTCGGCGGCGATCAGTGCTGCGTGCCATCCGCCAAAGGAAGATAGCGATGCCAGTGTCCTGCCTGTGCAATGGGGCGCGGTTAGTCATGAAAATGACGGGGAATTTACTCGAGATGAGAATGTCGGGCATTGCTGTTTTACGAGTTTTCCAGTTGAGCCTCCGATCGAGGGGCATTTGTATCAATAGAGGATCACTTCCACCTTGGCCTAGAACAAACATCAAGATCCGAATAAAATCAAATATCTGAGGTAAGAAGCACATCAGTCTACCCATTCCACATCTCCCACTCTACCCCTCCCTCTGCACAAACCACATCTCCGTCGGCGCCCCCCACCCCTTCAACCCCTCGATTGCCCCCTTAAACTCATTCATAGTAACCAGTTCCTCAAAACACCCCATCCCCTCCCACCCCCTCACCACAAAAAACCCCACCACCTTGCCCCCCTCACCACCCTCGTGCTCTTCCTCTTCAACCCCCCACCCAAACGCCACACCCCCGTTCCCCCTCGCAACCGCTAAGCATTTCTCGTCGAAAACCCGGAATTCGCGCTCGATGCCCGTGCGGAAGTCGGGCGTGGCGCGCGCAGCTGGAAAGGAAACTTTGACGAATTCGAGCAGGGGCGAGGCCATTGCGCCTTGGGAGCTGAATATCGGGACGCCGTGGGAGAAGGCGATGTGGGTTGTTTTTGGGGGTTGGCTGAGAGTGGAGAGCATGTTGGGTAGGTAGGGGGTGTTTGTGAGCGAGGAGGTGGCGGAGTGGATGTCAGGGTGTTCGGAGGTTAGTTGAAGGGTGTTTGGGGCTTGGAGGTGGGTGCCGAGGGAGTAGTTTGGTGGTGTCTTTGTGTTTTTGAGGGCGAGGAGGGCATCTTGGGGGGTGGGGAATGCGAGGGTGAAGGTGAGGAGTTGGGATTGTGGCAGTGGGTGAAATGGGTTTTGTCTTGTTTTTGTCGGGAGGAGTTGATGTCACATCTCTGCGTTGGTTTTATATACAAATTCTGGGGTTTTTTATGATATTCTCGAAAGTCATAGTGATGAATTCGGGGTTTGTGGGCAGCGAGCTTGGTAATCGACATTATTCAGCTCCATAGCCAAGAGTATGAAGACATGACACAGATGATAGCTGCGTATTTCTCTGTCTTTACATCGTCGAGAAACTCTGATAATGCAGTTGATTCGCATAAGCAGCTTTGTATACTTACGTCCTCAGATCCAGCCACGTTATGCTATGCGCGTTTTCCTACAAGAAACTATACATGGTCATCGCTTCACACTAACATGACAAACGGCAAGCGGCTGCTCATCCCCATACAACAATGACCCGCTGCAAGCGACATTGCGGAGCGTTCCCACATGTGACACGTCGCATGAGCACATCTCGTACATTCCCATCCCGCTGTTGCATAAGTTCGTGGTGGAGACACGGGAATTCTCAACATAGGCAGAATGCGTTTGCGCGAAAGCCGCGGGATTTGCTAACCCGAATTCGGAAATGCATCCTTTCAAGCCAAATGCCAAGACATGCCTGGTGATGTCATCATCAGAGTGGCAAAAGCGCAGGCTTGGAGCGACAGAAAAGTGCGGTGAGCAAAAGGCTTTGTGCAGAAAAGATGCATGCATAGTGCGTAGTTGAGAAATGTGTGTTGAATCATATCATCTAGTTCTATTCTTCATTCATTGCGTTGTTGTAGGTTGACAACAAGGAAAGCAACTCCAAACTCCATGTAAATGCTTGACTCGCTTGCTTTTTAAACAAAAATGGTAGAGTGAGTCTCTACATACTATGGCCAATGTAGATAAATCTACGCCTTAAAGAAACTCTTCCAATCAACTCAACTCCTCTAGAAACTGAATAGACCCGACCTCCTCTTGCCAAGCGGATACACAATGAGCGCGGCAAGGAAAAGGCCAACGGTGATACCAATGGCAATTTGCACGACCGAGAAACCAACGTCAAGTGCGATAGAATTGATAGAACTGCCCGTGCCAACATCGGCACCGCTGATTGTCGTTGCGTTTCCAGTACTGTTGCGCACGATTTGATCCGCCGATATAAGACCAGATACTAGCGATCCTTGAACACTGAGACCAGAGGGGACTTGAACAAAAATGGCTGGCAACATGGCAGCAGCAGCCAACCCGTAGCCAATCTTGCGAGTGTGAGGCGTGAACTCGCTAATGGAGCTGGCTCTTGAAGTGTGACCACTGCTGGTGTGTGTAGGGTCGTAAGCCGAACGCTCAACCTTGTGTGTGCGAAGCGGTCCGTGACTCTTCCTGAGGTACATCTTGCGAAACTTGACAAAGTGAGGCCGCATCTTGATCTCCCATGTATCAAGACACCAGTTCTCGATATGACGACCAAAGCGAGCATGCACATTGGCCGCAATACCGATAGCAAGAGCGCCTAGGGTGTTGCTAACTTGCGCGTTGTTCTTGAAGTACTTGGAGCTCTGGAAGTTGACAATCCATCCAATAAACGCAATGATGGTCATGGAAGGCATCTGCTTGTACTTGGCTTGGTTGACAATCTGAAGGCAAATCGCGAATGCAGGAACAAAAAGATAGTAGAAGTTTGTAGACATGGGGTCGTGGCATGTCGTGCGCGAGGTTGCGTTCTTGTCCATCATTCCATACAAGACTGTGCCAATGGTGATGCCAAATCCCAAGAAGAGGGAGTAGATGATTGCGTATACCATACGAACTGAGCCAGCGACAATGTGCTTACTCTGCAACTCGAGCGAGGCACAGAGAACCATGAAGCCAGGTAGGATAAGAGCGATACTGGACTGCGCCATGGCACTGAAGCAAAAGATCTCCTTGCCATCGTGTCGGATAGACCCAAGGGCTCGCGCCGCGAAACTGGTAATGACTGATGCGCCGATTTCGAAGACGTTGCTGATGAGGTCATTGCCTGGGGCGACAACGAGTTGCAACCATCCAATTATGCAACCAAGCAGAAAGCAAAAGGGAAGATCGATGAACCGAGCCTGGAAGGCAAATGGACCGACGGTAGCAGATGCCAATCCATACAGCAGTACCCTAAGCAACTTGTTGAACTTGGGCTTGCGATTTATGATAGCATCAAGACGCGGTGTAGCTTCTTCAACATTGATGCGGTCGTGAACGACATCTTTATAGATTTCATGCACATCGCGAAGCTTGCCAAGGTCGACACCCTGACTGGTACGAACGAGTTTGACTTCACTGGTATGGACAGAGGAGTCATCGAAGGCGATGATCATGCAGCCAGGCATGTACAAGAACTGTGCCTCAATCTCCAAGACACGAGCAGACATGCTCAAGTATTCTTCCAGACGATGTGTGGGCGCACCATACATCATGAGCGCCTTGCAAAGCTTGCGGAGATAATTCTGGCGCGCCAAGGTGCCAGCGAGATGGATCTTGATCCTGATCTCTTCTTCCTTTCTCCTATTCCTCTTGAACGGCAATATGGAATCGTCCGATTTGGACCGCTTTCCCATGCCAGGGCGGGTCTTCTTATATTGTTCATCCAACTCCTGGCCGAGCTCTTTCTGCGCAGGGGTAGCAAAGCTGTGGGTTGATGCCCCAACCAACTGAGAGACGGACGCAACTGATTGATTGTGATGATGGTTTCGGAACCAAGAGCGACCTCCACGTGGAGTTGAGTATCCGGAGACGGGCGGTGAAGGATTCGGGGAGTTGGCTGCAGTCGAAGCACCGCTGAATGTGCCGGTACTGAGACTTCTGTGAAGTGTGTTTTTGCGAGCCGGAGGGGCTGCTGCGCTACTCGACATCTTCATCAAGGTACCAAGCACCCCTGTGCGGTATTTGGCAGGTCGATTCACACGCTCATCCTCAATTTCCAACGCATCTGGTGTAACCTGGCCGGATTGAAGTGGAGTTTTGACGTTGTGGTAGAGGTCTTCTGGGATCAGTGGAGGTTGGTTGTTGGCTTCTCGAATGGTATGTTGTCGAAGGATCATGGAAGCGCGCTTCATGAAGCGAGGATCATCTTCCTCATCATCCGTTGTTTCCCCCACTGACTCATGCCGCTGTGACATGCTCTGGAGCTCAACCGGTGGTGAGGCGAGCTCGTTGGAGTTACGTCGTGATGCAGGAGCAGAGTATGTACCGACCGACTTGGATAGTCTTGCTGCACGGCGTTGAGCTGCAAGGCCAGACCGCTCTTTGAGGTCTTGCCCTATCGAGGACTGCCTTGATGGGACATTATCCTCAAAAGGATTGGGCTGGTCATTGAGGTAGAACTCTGGTGGAGGTGTTCGAGGACCAGGTTTCCGTATAGCTGGACGAGGTTTCTGTACATCCTTTGATGTAACGGGTTCCTGGATGACTTCTTCAGGGAGGTTTTCGTTTCCAAGGGCTAGTCGTAGCGAAGCCCGGATCTTTTGGAGGTCGTCATGTGATACATCTGAGCGTTCGAGGGGCGTGTTGTGCCCCGCAGAGCCAGTGTCTTCGGGCGATTGGACTGAGCGACTAGCAGAGGGTTCTGAGCTCCAGCCTACACGCTTCCTACCAGGTGTGGCAGACATTTGTTCTTCTGCTTCGGGGTGGTTCTGGCGAGAGGAGCTAGCATCGTGAAAGGGGTTCATGGTGTTTTGTATGGTTTGGGCACTGCTGTGAGACTAGTTGGGCACTTCAGGACGGACCACTCGACTCGCAGTAATCTGTAACGCGCCGAGTTCCGTTATTAGGCGCTGATAACGTTGCACCTGTCGATTTGTGCGCATAAGATATATTTTCGGCGATTCTCAGAAGCCAGTCTGTGGTCCAGAACCGTTCACGCACTTAGCGGTGGATCTCCAATGAATAGTGCGTGGTTCCAACTGATGTGCGGGTATCAGTGGGTAACTTAGCAGGCAAGTACAGACGTTTGCACTTGGAATACTAGGGATATGCTCGGTAATGATCAATGAGAAAAATGAATGCAGGACTGGGATATCATGACAATGTGACTGGCAAAGTACCCCTTCAGAGGTGTGTGGGATTGATAAGAGCCGCTAGCGCGGGGGCGTGCTGCAAGCATACGAACGTCAAGCCGACAAGTTAGAAACTTCTCAAGTTGTGTAGTGGCGGACAGACCCATTTTTTCTTGTCGAAACACAGTGGCCAGAATGTTCGGTGTTGGGCTCAGCAACATGACAAAAGCTGGGTGGAGCCAGCGCTACAGGGGACCTTGCACTTCGGGAGCAGTAGCACCAAGATGTTGACAGGCACCAAAACTGTACAATAAGCAAAGGCCAGGATCCCTGAGTACTGCAGCGGGAGCGGCCAGCACTGGCGTCGGATTTATTTTAGGGGAAACCGACGCGAGGTCCGGAAATGACGATGACAGTGTCGGCGAAAAAGAGTACTCAGAGTATGTTCTTGGCGGATTTGCCGAGTGAAAAGTAATCTAGTAGATCATTCAAAGACAATTTACTATGGGCATTGCGAAAAGGAATAACTGTGCCCAGCATAGGATTGCTCAATGTTTGATAAACCCCTCTTGACTGACGACACCGGACGGAGCGCAGATACCGCAATGTCCAGGATTTTCATGCACGCATTCCAAGGGTGGTAGCAAAAAAGTGGACTCGATGTGCCAAAGCTTGGGAAAGGTCTAATGAGGAAAACCGAGATAAGGAGAGAGTGGGTATAACTGGGTCTGCCTAAGCCTGGCTGTGCACTTCCGCCCAATGGCTACAAATCTAGGGGCAGCGCGGGAGTGGGCTTTAAAGCGCCGTCAGAGAACATCAGTGGAGCGGTGGTGCCGTGTCATCAGTCGAGAACATGCGGAACCGCACTGCTGTTTTATTCTGAGTCCGGAGCGGCAACAGCCAGAAGAGCAGGAATGTGTTGAGAGCGGATGGAGAACTCTGCACGATTAGTTCTTTGGCGCCGAGCTGTTAATGGTGGCGTCGGAGGGTGGCGAACAAGAG